TCGGCTTAAAAAAGCAATAGTTCAAAATATATCACATGCCACAAGTGTCACTGGAGTGGACTTTAATGAAAAGCAAACTTGAATTATATAGAAGAAAGTCTGTGGCAGTGGAGAGGTAAAGGTATGATACAGCTGGGATTTCTGTCAGCATGCATCTAAACGTGCACGTGCACACAAGCCAGGGGCATACTGTTAGTCTGCGAAAATAAATGCCTTTTTTAAATTAAGTGCGTTTCACATTTCCTTCGTTACACTGTGGGCACATTTCTCCCCACTTCCAGGCACAGCAAGAAAAGCATGAACTTCTCTGTTTCTCAGACATCTTCAAATTATTATCTACATTGCAATGCTTTTAACAGTTTGCTTTTTCTTTCACACAACATTTCTTATTGTTGTGACTGCACACTGTAATATGTTTAGCAGTACTTAATGTCCCTCTGGTTATGGATTTTTCCTTGCTAGACCTTAAACTATGTGATATAGATTTGGAATAAAAAGAATTTGCATTTTTAGAAGAAAGCACGTAAAAATCAAAGGTACGCATTTCAAACACTGCTATTACGATTAGCCAATTGCTCCGCTAACAATTAATATAAGCGACCTTACTGATACATCAGGAACTAAGAAAACAAATGTACAGCCCATTATTGCAATACCCGTAAAAGCAAGCTGCCTTAAGGCAGGGAATTGAGTGGTGCCTAACGGGGAAGAAATTCTCTCTTCTGCAGAGTATTCCTCTGTAATGCTCCGTTTGCTTTACTCTCCGAACATCCCATAAAGCCAAGAGGACCAAAGAAAAGCTGACTGAATATTTGCCTGGCTTCAGCTATTTGTAAGAGGGTGGGGTGGGTTTTTTGTTTGGTTTTTTTTTGGGGGGGGGGTTGGGTGTTTTTTTGTGTAACTTTTGAAAGTAGCAGTGAGATTTCTGTCACTGGTGATGCAAATGTTTCCCATATGCTGCGCGCTGCCTCCCTGTGATTAACAGCGCTGTTTGTCCTACGCATTCCATAGGGGACAGTTAAACTGAAAAACGGCAACAAACTTGGAGAAACATATACACCAGGATGCATACCATGCTCTAAAATGCCTTTTGGTTTGCATTTATCACCCACCCAAAAAACACATGCCCGGGAATGTTATGATAAGGGAGACCCAGCTGTGCCATGGGTCTTTAACGGGGGGGGCTGTGACACCCCGGCAGAGCGGATCCGGGGAGGAGGATGCTGGTCCCTGTCCCTTTGCTGTCGGGCTCATTTCACTGCGTGCCTGGGGCAAAACTTCGCCCCTGCGTAAGCCCACGAGGGTAAATGCCGCACCCGGACTGAATCCCAGGGAGGATTCATCACAGGAGGAAGGTGGGAGGATTCGCTGGCTCAGGCAAAGGTTGGGGAGTTGGGGACATGGGATTCTTCCCCAGCGGATCGAGGCATCTCCTTCTACGGGGTGCTTCCTGCCACTGCCCGCACCGCAGCATCAATATCGCTGTGGCTCGGGCTGGATTTACGGCTGGCTTCAAATAACACCATCATGCTCTATTACGGGGGCAAGATTTAATCCAGAAGAGCCTTCACCCAACCCGTGTCTACCTTAGGGAAATACTGCTGGCTGACAGACACGCAGTTTTGGGGCAGCCAACTTTTGCTGTACTTATATATTCCCCTACGGGATGCCCCGAGCCAGGCAGCCTGTTTGTCCTTTCTATAGAGCCTATATGTTTTTCAAGGAGCGCTGCTTTCTCCACTGAGAAAGTCAGTCACCAAACCGCCCAGTGCCAGCTCGGCTGTGGGGAAGCTCTACCTGTGTTTTTAGACAGGGCTGGATTTCAGCCTGTAGCTGAAATATGTAAAGACCAGACAGCAGAATAAATATTGGTATTTTTGCTGAGTGAAAGGTAAACGGCCGTAATTGATACTACTTAGGAGATGCAAACACATTAAATCTGACATTTCAGTGCAGACACAAGCCCATTTAAAACTTGGAGAAAAAGCCTTTTTTTCTTCCCTTCTGATTATTACAGATACATTAAGAATGCTTTGCTGCAGGAAAGTGGATTCATAACAATCTAGAAAAGAATTACTCGGCCTCTGAATACAAAACATCCAGAGAGAAAAAAACCCGGAACATCAGCTTAGCCAGCTGCCCACTGGGATTCATTTTTAACCATTCCTGTATTTTTTAATCCTGATTTTTTTAACCATTCCTTTTTCCTAAAAGGAAAAGAAAAAACCCAGCAACCTAAAGGCACATGCAACAGGTCCTGTGCGTACACGGTGACAAGGAGGATGCGCTTTTATGGGAAAACCTTGCCTTATTTCCGACGTGGACTTTTGCTGGTTTACCCAGGACAAAAGGCAGCCAGCTCACAGCAGCTCAGCTTTGGGATTATCTTTTGGAGGCAATTAGAGCTCCAGAAAGCTTTTTTGATAGTATCTAAGTGCAAGCTGATTGTGGCTCCCTATTTTCAACAGTGTCACCGGTGATGGGGAAGGTGACACGGAGTTTCCATGCCCATTTAGCTCCTGACCTCTGGGTATTCCAAGTGCGAACCCCCTGCCTGTTTCACGGTCTGAATGAGAAGTTCGGCACCTAAATCCACCCCGGCTCTGAGACACTCCGTCTTCTGCAAAGCCGTGCGAGCCCGGCACACCTCTGGCAGGGACGGCCACGGCGCTGCTCCAAACTTCCGACAGCCCCGCTTTTCATCTGTCGCTGGGGAAGGACTGCTTGCCAGCACCAGTGAGGAACAGGATGCAAGGAAGCCACACCAGAGCATTTCGTGTGGCTTTAAAAAGCCCGGTGTGATACGGCAGAATGGGTGTTTCTCCGCCTTTATTTTTACCCTGAGCAAGACGCCGGCTGGCTGAGCCCATAGAGCATCAGGGACCCGGGCTGCGGAGCTACGCTGCATGCTGGAAATGCGTTGGCTTTTCTTAGTCTTATCATTAGCATACAAATATTCCATAATTGCCTAGTCACGAGAGATTACCTCAGGCCATAAATCACCTCATCCTCCTATTAACTGGAGTTTCTTTCTCCACTTGCATCAAATTAACTCCCTTCATGCGGTGGAATGTTGGGAATTTTAAAACACTTACTTTTATCAATTAACATATTGTATTTTAACACAATCGACAGACCATTACATGATTATGTTTACAATTATTAGCTGTAAAAAATTGCTTTCAGGAGCAGTCCCTTTAAATAAGGCGCAAATCTGGTATGACAAGACTATCTAATGGCCTCGCGTTTCTTTTCAGTCCGGCTTCCTGTATAAAACTGAGGGTTCAGTCCTGCAGGTAATAAAGGTAATAATATTGATTTAATTTCCAATATGGGATCAGTACTGTGTGTTTCAGAGGGCTATGCAGGGCTACCTGGGTGCTCCCAGCCAGACTTTGGGTAGAGGGCCCAGACCTCAGTACCTTTACACACGTAATGGCAAATATTGCTATCCTACTAATTCAAAGGGAAGTATTAAAAAAAAAAACAAGTCTGAAAACAATCACAGATCATCAATGGGTTTATTGTCTTTTTTAATAGTCGAAATTAAACAAGAGTATGCTGTCCTAGTCCTAACATTTGCATGGGTGCCTGTAGTGATGTTAATGGTTTATCTTTCAGGGAACCCACATACAGTGAGGATTGGTGTTTTGTACCTTAATTTGGAAGACAGACCGCAAGAGAACATGATGTTTTACAAGTAACAGTTCATTTAGTCTGGGATTTTCAATAATTCTGCTGATTAGCACACTAATGAGGTAGAGGGAAAAGCGAGGTTCAGAGATAAAAATGTGATGCAGCAGATTCAAGGTGATGACAAAGACATTATTTTCAGGAAAACAAAGATTCAAGCTATGCTTTCAGCAAACAAGATGCTTAATAACTCCAAGCACTTTCACATTTCCAGCAGCCTCTGCTCTATGCACCAGTGTCTGACTTTTTAATGAAGCAAAATTAACTGATGAGCTTGTTAAGAAACAAAAGGTAGCGAAAAGCATTTTTAATCAACAGTTCGGACTGTTCTTTAGGCTTTCTCAGGAAGCTGATAATAAAATTAATTTCAGATTTTGCAAAACTGAGGAAGAGTTTGCTCGGGATGTGATGTATTTAAATAATAACAATATTAAAAACATGAATAAATAGCAGATTCTCTTCAATATTATATACTAAAGAATTTGCTTTCAGTTAGATACTAAAAGCAAGTTGCCATGTTTTCAGCTGGTACGAATCAGTGCTGCTCCGTGAAGCTACACTGTTTTACGCCACGTGAGGATCTGGCCCAAAAATTTACCCTTGAAAAATTCAAGAGGACAGAAGTGATGGGAAACCCAGGTTCTAACCAACTGAACGGAGGAAGAATATCAAAGGGTGCAAAAGGGTATACAACGCGTCTCACCTGTCCCCAATCTCCTGCTTTCCACTTCGGACATCTGCCCCCTCTGCATTTCTTTTGCACATTGGGCTTAGCAAGGTGCTTGCAATAATCTTCTTCTACATGCCTCCCTTCCTTTGACAAACAGTACACATTGCGGTGCTTTTGGCCCCTTCCACAGGAGACAGAACACTGTAAATATAAAGTAAGAACAGATCAGCTTTCACGCAGGGCCATCTGCACGGTTACACATGGGCCATGGCTACCCAGGGCATTCTCTTTTAACTGGGCCAAAAAGCACATCCCCAGGGCTCCGACAGCCTACGCGAAGCCTGAGGGGGATATGGAAGGGCAGAATTCAACCTCTGGAAACGTTCCCATTTGCACTTAATATTGCACGATATTCTTGGTCAAAGCCCCCCCCCCCAAATGCCAATATCAAAATAGAGAAAGCAGCTGACATTCAGCAGGGATAACAGGCTGGATTCCTGGCATTGCTCCAGTGGTTTCAAAGGAGCAGAGTCATCTTACAGGGATCAAGGCAGGAGCCCTCAGTATCTGCTTAGAAGAACTTGAAAGGAACCATTTCCATTTACCTTGGTACAAAGGGAGGTCAAAAGTTGGTAAATCAGTAGAGTAAAGCGGTATATACACCTTCACAGAGGGAAATAACTGCACAAAGCACAAGGCAGAATGGAAAAATGCAGTCCATGTCCTTGGTATTAAAGCTCTTTTGTTTTACCAGTGCAGACTGATTTTTTTTTTAATGTTTTTTTTTACTAAACAGACTGAAACCAGGACATGCTCATCCTTAAGATTTATGCATTTTGAAAACAACTCAGAAGGTGGCAAGAAGGCAGAGCCTGAAGAATCAAAGCAAAAAGCAAATCAGCAGGTATGTTAGCTGTAAGCTTTGTAGTGAAGCAACTAATTTCAACCTCCCTCTGCAGGTTCACTGAACTTTTTCAAATGTGACCACTTCTGGCATGCAATCCCCAAGCAACTTCACTTTGATTTCAGATTAGTCTCCTCCAAAAGATTTAGGAATCAAAGGGCTTTGGAATCACGACAAGAATTTAATATGACAGTTTCGTGTAGAACAAGCCTCTTACTCAGCATGATGCACCCAGAGACTCAGCTTCGATTTCTTCATTACATGTTATGCAAGTCATTACATGCTATGTCACAAGCATCCTGGTTTAATCCTTGAGCACAAACACACTGGTTCAACCATCTCTCAATATAAAATGTTCTGCTTTCTTTTCAAAACGCAGCAAACACGCAGAGATGAGGCTTCTTCCTTCATCTTGGAGCCACTCCATCAGTATATTTCCCAAGAAATAAATCACAGCCCAAGCTCTTCCCAGTCTATGAATACATTTGAAACCTAAAAAACTACAATTTATATATGTAGCAGCTCTGGAAGATCCATTAGAATAGAAATCGGCGTATGCATTGACAGCTGTGATTACTTTAAATTACAGCGCTACTTCCAACTCATTCAGCCCCTATTGTGTTAAGAGGTACACAAAGAACCAGCCAGAGAGCAGTAACTTGCTCCAAAATGGAAAAGTTCAGACCAACGTGGAGAGAAATGGATGTAACTCATGAGATCAGATGTTGCCGCTTAAAAGCTTGTATAAGCGATGTGCTGGAAAAGGCTGTTTTCCTGCTGCAGGACCATGGCAGATTAACAAAAGGTAGCTGAGGTCCCTTGCGATCAATAGGGTTTAAGGGGCACTAATGAAGCTCCCCTGCGAGAGGCGGGAAGCCAGACGAGCCCACAGCAGGGATGACCTCCTCTGAGTTTTCCCGAGCCCAGCTCCAATTTCAAGATAGGCCAAAAACCCCAAAGAGCAACATTCAACCTTGCACCGAGAACCAGAAGAAAGGCTGTCCCTTGTTCTGAGGTAAGACTTTCACGAGTTACCTAGATTCATACACTTCACTTTTTTTTTTCTTTAGTATCAACAGAAAAAAGATTGAGTTAATGTTATCCTATTTTTATAAGCCTTCACATTTCATCAGAAGTTCATTTTTTCATTCTTTCTACATCTGTCCCCAGGCAATGAACGTCAGCAGCAAGAAGGAAATATCAAATCCTACCAAACCCAGTTGTAAAATTCTAATACTTTCATCCATTTACTATCTTTGGACTAAATGGCAATGCTCATACTTCAGCAAAAATCCAAGTGCTACTCAGTAAGTGCTCTCCATGCAGCTTGATGCCACTTTACTGTGACAGCCAAAGCTAAAGAGTAAAGTCACAGGCTTGATGAGGATTCTTTCTTGCCCCACATCCCGAGCCGGTACAGCCAAGAGCGTCTTTGCTCTAATTTCAAAAATACATTGGATCAGCTACTTATTCTAAAGGAAGAATAACCACATTGCACAACAACGCGAGGCTGTTTCTGGGGACCTGAAGTTGGTGGATCTCACAATAATGTATCTGATCTCACAAATAATATAGTGCTAGTCATTTCCGAAACTGTTATCCCTCTTCTACAGATTGCTTAACTTTGGCGTGGAGCCTGATTCTGACATTTATCTCACCATCCCATGATCAAAGAAGATGACTGCGTGCATACCTTGATGCACTCAGAGGTTGAGGCATAATTTGCCTAATTTTGTTAATACTTAAATGTAATTCCCAAGGTGCTGGAATTAATCATTTCTACGTCTGTCTTTAATATAAATCAAAGTTAGGCAGCTGTGCATTTTTAGATCTAAACCACCCATTTGCTTTCATGCACATGTGAGTTATGATCTCATTTGCACTGACAGAAAAGAGAGGGTGAATAATCTAATGTAACCAAGTATCAGAGACTGAAAATTCCTTTGCAAAGAGCCTACTTCATAACTGCCTTCTAATTCATCTCAGGTATTTCCAACTTTCCTTTGGCACGTAGATTTTGAGCATATGTGAGCCACATGCAGAAAATAATTTAATAGTGGGCTTCATCTCAACGCCACGTGACTTAGGGAAGCAATACACCTAGCTAGTGCCATCAGCCTCATCATTTATTTCGGACCCTGGAGAGACTGCATTTCATTAGCAGGACTCTTCGTCGCTGCAAATGCTGCTGCCCGCTTACAGTACCTACCAATAACAGTGCCACAGTGAGGTAAGCTTTGACCTTGCCTTCCTTAAAACATTTGAATAGCACAAACAAAAATCACTTCTTTCATATTTCTCTTTCTTTTTCTTTATTTCTTTCCTATCCTCCACCCTGCAGTAGAAAATACTTCCAAGTACTGGGGATGGACGGGTGGCTCTCTGTGGAACAGCAGCCTCACCCAAGGCTCTTTGAAGTCAACAGAAAGATTTCTACTGGTTTTAATTGCCTCTGGATCCAGCCCTGAAGGTGTAGCCAAGGTATTGTATGGACTTTTTTCACTCACCAGCTTCCTAGAGTCGAGAATGCCATGCACTTGGGCATGCCCACGGTCAACCCGCCTCCGCCTCCCCTCAAGTGCTTGAAAACATTGCTCTGAAATGCTGTTTCCAGCCCGTGGTAGAGGCATGGCAACAAATAGCACCCCTGGGTGAATCCAGGAGGGTAGCCAGGCATGGAGGATGGTGTGAAAACAACACATTATGGTGTTTCTTAAAAAAGCCAAGATAATTGTGGCACATAAAATAGTAGAGAAGTACTATTTTAAAAATCAGCTGTAGCCATCACACTAAAGACTCTAGGAAACCTTCCTCTTGTTACTATCTTTATTATCTCCTACAACCACTGCAGTCACACCTGGTGCTTTACACAGAGAATAAGAACAAAAGGACTTTCCAATGGCATTAGGATCAAAGCGTTTGAGCTCAGATTTAAGGGTATTATGTTTATTGCGTGATTAGTTTTGTTAACATGCCAAGAACTGGGGATTGGTATGCTGCTGATTTTTTCAAATAAATATAATGCCTAGTTTAAATAAATACAAAGAAAAAAAAGTTTAAATAAATACAACAAAAATATTTCCATATCAACTATTTCCAGAAAGGTCACCACACGATGCTAAATCTCTCCTGCAATGCATCGCTCTGCTCCAGCGCAGCGGCAAGCTTGTGTTTTTGTTTCCACAGAAATTTGTTCTCCGTTTCAGAGCTCGGGAATGACGAAGATCATTCTGTTTTACCAAGTATGTGCAAATTACTTTAAACTGACCCTTGCTGCGTTTCCTACTGCCACATTCTGGAAAGCGAGGGTACGTCTCGTTCATTAAGACTTCTCTAACGTAGGAAGGCTGCTACTTGATTGACTGGGCTGGTAGCAGGTAAAAAACAGAACGTGTACCCCAAAAGCTCTTAAAAATCTGTACAAAACTTCTGGCTGCTTGGGCCCAGGTTCTGACCCTCCTGCAGGGGACTGTGACTGCCCTGGGAGCTGTGTCACGGCTGTGCCACTGCCAGGCTGAGGGCTGGCAACAAGGTTGGTCTGACACGGAAAGGACTCAACAGCCCTGGGCACAAATAAGCAAATCTTGGTGAAAAGAAGGAGGCAGCACAGAGCAGTCCAGAGCTATGGAGTGGCTCCACTTCCCCTTAATTTTCTGCAGCGAACAGGCAGATCAACATGGGGCAGAAAAGCCAACCACCAGCAAGAATGTGAGGACATTCTCCCCCAAAAGTGAAACGTTTCAGAAAATGCTGTCAGACCACTTTTCCAGGCCCTCCGTGCATCAGCCGACGATTTGGGAGGTATTTGAGATAATGAATGCAAGCTGGGTGATCACCAAATGAATTCCTAGAGATAGGTATGCTCCGATCTCACCAAGGGCAGGGCTAGAGGCTGGGAAGAATTAGACTGAAAATGGCTTTATCAGATTCTGCCAGGAGCAACTTTGCAGAGGAAATTAAAATCAATCCTTGTAGGTTTAGATTTCCACACATTAAGGATTATCTGGAAAGTAAGCACTCTTAAGTAAGCCCTCGTTCATCCTTTCCAACAATCTGAGCCGAAACATGTGCTAGATGAAACAAAACAGAGAAACGACGGAGCCCTGCAACGCTTTGCGCACCTGTCCTGTGGGGGACCGTGCTCCTGGACATCAGCAAACTTCTCCAGCTACAAGCAGAGCCCAACCATGCACCCTCCGAGTTACGCTTCAGCATCCTGTTAGCCCGCATCAGCTCTTGCTGTAACTCACACTGCTGCTATCAGATGCTGATAAATTCGCAATCACAGCCCTCTGAC